AGTTATGGACAGGTTGGACTTTAAATAATAAATTCCTTGTTGATTTAAAGATTCCAGGTTTTTCTATATCGTAGAACGATGCCCAAGTGACAACTGTATCAACAAAGTTCCCAAAAGAAAATTTTAAAATGCCTATCATTGTTTCTATAGTGCTCTTGAGATCAGAGTGTTTCATACCTTCCTACTTAGTTTTGCTTGGAGTAAGTTGAACATTTATGTTATCTCATCTTTGCCGTTGTCTTTATAGTTGAATAAAAATTTAGAATATTTCTGAGGTATGTCCATTATTGGTACCGAATCTTGTCCATTATTAGAACAATTGAAGTTCGAGGTGTCCATCCATCACTAGTGCAAACATGTTTTTTTTTTAAATGGAGATTATACCGGCGTAACTGAACTTTTTTTTTTCAATTTTAACGTGCTAAATAGAAAAAGGAGACCCTAGAGATTCTAAATGTCCAACGGAGAACTTTATAACTATAATTATCAAGGTGGCATAAGCCAAAAAAGACAAAAATTTCCTTAACTATGTCCATCACTGGTGCGGTTATTCTAGTTAAATATTGAATGATTTATAATAACTGTATTGTTATTTTTAATAACTGTTATTATAAATGTATTAGTTAACTGTATTAGTTATCTGGTGAAAATTATATTTTATTTTCTAGGTGATGCTGCTTGGAGATTCTGGTGTTGGGAAGACATGTATATTGGTGAGATTCAGAGACAATCTTTTCCTTTCTGGAAATTTCATATCAACTGTAGGAATAGACTTTCGTGTAAGTTTCATCAAAACAAAATTTTCAAATTAATACCTTTTACTTAATTCTTCAACAGATTTATTTATTTTTTTTTTTGTAAAATGAATTTGTTTGTTTATTTGGGCTTTAAGGCGTGAAATTCCAGAATCATCAACGCCTGTGTAAAATTAATTTTTATAACAAACTATTTTTTAATACAAAGGGCATGTCAGTCGTAAATACATAAATACTTTTTTATACTTATAGTTTATATATTAATTTCTTATAAAATTTACTCTTTTTTTTATTCTTCTTATATGTATACTCTTATATTCACTTTAGCTTCACTCTTAGATTCTCTTAGGTTGAAATATTTTTCAGTTTTAAATATTTTATCATGCTCGATAAAGGAATATATCAGGGTAAAAAATTAAATTGAATTTTATAAAACAAGAGATGGTGATATACCTAACCATGTTCCTTATATACCGTGAAAATAAAGAGATAAGTTTGCGAGCATTTGGATTAGGGAACCCAATTTCCTTAGAAGCATCTTATGAAAAAATATATCATAAACTGCCACCAGTAAAAAGAGTTCTTACATTATGTATAGTATATTCCGTGAAAATATGAATTAAAAATTTATTGCCGTTAACCGCATATTAATATCTCAATCTGGTAACGTTGTATGACTATGCAATATGCTAAAGAGTTTTTCAAGAAACCACGTTTTCCCTACATAGATATCCGAATTTCTCAAGTTTTGTAACATTTTTTGAAGTCTACGACGAATTTAATATAAGCAACCAATTGTAGTTCCCTTTTTATTAACTTATTAACATCCGCCTAAAACTTGGTGAATGGCTTCATCTCATCGTAACATACAAATTTTTTATTTATGTTCATTTCAGAAATGGAGCGTCTTCTCATTAAAATAATGAATTTAATTATGCACTAAAAACTCTTTAAAAAAACATTTGCTATCCATTTGAATCGTAAGATAATTTGAGCACAAAAAAAAAAAGAAAAAAAAGGTGGCCTACAAAAATATTGGTCCGTTTGGCCTCTATAACCTTTTTATTTTGACATGATGTGGGTGAAAGTCATGCCAAACAATGTTTATGAGTTTTTAGTACCCATTAAAATAAAGTTTGCCGATCTCCATATTGAAAACGTCCCAATGCCGAGAATTTTCGTATATATAAAAAATGGAAGGTTACTAAAAGATGAAGCTATTCATTAAGTTTTAGGAGGATGTTAATAATTTGATAAAAAAGTGTCTTTACCACGCGGACTATTTCTAATAAAACCTCGGCAAACTTAAGTTATTTCGACAAAGTAAACAAGAAATAATGAATAATTTTCAGAAACATTCGTTGGAAACTCACATGAAGAGTTTTCGAGCTATGAACTAATGTCAAAAATACGACTTCATTAATAAGCGCCTAAGATATTCGATCTCCTAAATGTGACATATTTTCGAAATTATACTAGTTTTCCGATGCTGATTATATCGTCCGAAAGCTGATGAAATTTTTATTTTTATTTTTTTTATTTCTTATGACATTTACAATTGTATTATATAAATACATCAAGTAAATTTGGACATAATAGATATGATAACATGAATACACTTGCTGAGTAACTACCCAATGGTAGCACTCTAATGATATGACTACATTAGGAGATCACGGGGCCATCTTCTTTTCAGACGCCTCGGAGGGTTATCAGGAATTGAAGAGGAAGCAAGGTTAGAAACGAGAGGGTTGGGATGATTCTGAAGTTTATTATGGAAGGATAGGTATCTGGATTGGGCCAGATCTGAAACATAAGGAACATTAAGGTCTTTATGGATAATTTTATTAGTGACAAAGTAAGGAGCATTGAGGATTTTACGAAGGATTTTGGATTGTAAGGATTGGATGCGAGAGGAATTCGATGGTTTAGTGGAGCCCCATAGCTCAACTCCGTAAGTCCAAATAGGTCTTATTATAGTCAAGTATATGAGTCTTTTGTAATTAATGGGAAGTTTAGAGCGTTTGTCTAGTAAGTGCTGAAGTAATCGGAAACGTCGAGCGGTTTCTTGTCGTTTCAGTCTAGTATGAGGATTCCAAGTTAGCGTTTGTCCAGGTGGAGTTCTAGGTATCGGATTTGCTCAACAGGGATAAGTGGAGTATTGTTAAAGGAAACTGTAGGACAGGAAGTCGTTGGTTTACGACGAAGGGTAAAGGTAATTTTGTGGGATTTATTGGAGTTTATTTTAATTCTCCAGTTTTGACACCATTCTTCTAGATTTATGATGTGTGATTGAAGCATTTGGGATGCAATTGCAGGGTCATTGTTTACTGATAGGATACATGTGTCATCGGCATATGTGGTGATGGCAGTGTTGAGATAGGTAGGGATGTCAGCTGTATAAACTGTATAAAGGATAGGACCTAGGATACTACCTTGAGGAACACCAGCGGACTGGGAAAAAAGGGATGAATAGGCGTTATTGTGATTTACTTTAAAGTATCTATCAGTAAGGTACAAACTGATAATGAGGAAGTATGTAGGTGGTAGGAATTTTCGGAGTTTGTACAGCAGGCTGATGAAATGAAATGACTTCTTCGAAATCAATAAGAACTTTTCTGGAAAATCCATTGAGTGAGATGTAAGGGAACATGAATACAGTGGAAAAGGGGAGGCGTGGAAACACCTTTTAATTTACAGCCAAAAAGACTAATTTATCCTTCCTCAAATTTATTTCCTCTCCTCATTTTAAAATTATTTATTCCATTTTGACTACGCTCTCGCAATTATTTCAAATGAAGTTCTTATTTAAAAGGAAAAAATATTTTAAAACATATTTATTAAAAGTAAATAAATAATACTGATGAAGAAAGTAAATAAAAAGAAAAAAAAGTAAACAAATAACATAAAATAGAAACTTCTAAACACAATCATACATATATATAAATGTAAAAAGTAAATAAATAATACTGATGAAGAAAGTAAATAAAAAGAAAAAAAAGTAAACAAATAACTTAAAATAATTGGAATACTAAATCCACATTTCAGATTTATTGTTGCCATGAAGTGTGCCATCTATATTGATTCTAGGAATTTATGTTATCAATCACATGAAATAGAACATTTGTCATATTATCCTATAAGACTTTGATTCAATAAAATAATATGGTTGTGTGAAATATTTCCTGATTTGAATTAGTCAAACTTTGACTGGTTAGTTGTTGATTGCTAGAGGTATTAAATGTTTTGTTCAAAATGTATCTAAAATTTCAATATATTATGACTTTTAAAATATCCTGTCTGGAAGATTAAGTAGTTCTCTTCTTAAAGTGATAAGCCATAAAACTACCTATTAATATTCCATGAAAATCAAGGTAAGCTATAGTTTTTACACACATTCCATGAGCATTTGCAGCTTATTCAGGTAAGTGATTTATTTTATTTTTTTAGCAATAAAAATTATTTCTCTTATTTGTAATGTATATTTGCTATGAGATAAATTGTTTATTAAAGTCATATACAAATAGTACAGAAAACATAACTAATGTCACAACTGTGAAACTTAGAAAATCTGAATTAAATTCAGTAAAGAGAACCCATTTTCAAGTGATTTATGTTTTGTATTAATTTCACATTTATAAAGAGGTCTTCATGAAAATTATATTTTAAAAATTTCTTTATATCTCTATCTTCTTTTTTTGTATCTCTTGTTTATGTGCACTAGTACTGTTGCTGTGAGAGAAACTTGTCCTGCAAGTGTGCCTTGTGGTCCATTTTGTTGACCCATGTGGGAATAGAACCCACAACTCGCTCTTCATGTCCTGTCCATTATGTGTAACAAAGTATTGTAATAAAATGACTGGCTTTAACCACTTATTGATAGATTTTTATTTATAGGATTGTTCAATGTATGAAAATATATCTCTGTTTTTAAATAAATTCATTTACTATATAATACTTGCTCAAACATTTTCTAATTTATGACCCATTTTCATTTTATTTTTCATGAAGAAAATATTTATTTAAATGCATGTTCAAAATTAATCCAAATTTGAAAAAGGATATCTGAAGAAATTATTTTTTATCTGATTTGACCATTTTAGAAGAATGACAAAATTTATTTAGTTTTTGATCAATATTATTTTTTAAATTAGATAAAAAAATTTAAAACTGTGCACCATATATTTTGATTGTATATAATTATATCATTCAGTGAACTGACATATGTAAATGCCTCTGTTTCAGAATAAGGTAGTGTGTGTTGATGATTCTAAAGTTAAACTTCAAATTTGGGATACCGCTGGACAAGAGCGTTTCAGGAGTGTCACTCATGCTTATTACAGGGATGCTCATGGTAAACTATATATTTTTTTTAATATTTATATATTAAATTAACTTAAATAAATTTCTTTATTTAAATTCCCTTTTTTTTTTTTTTTTTTAACTGGCGCATCAAAATTAATGAATCAAAATGCAAACATGTAACTTTCACTCTTCGACGCAGATCCTGTCCCCCAATCCTTTTTAATTCAATTCCTCTTCCTTACTCAGACACAGTCCGATACCTTGGCTTCCTTCTGGACAAAAGACTGACTTGGAACCCACATACGAGACTTAAAAGACAAGAGCTTAACCGACGATTTGTCAGCTATATAGACTACTAAACAGAACATCTCATCTCTCAACAGAAAACAAATTATTAATCTACAAGACCATACTGAAACCTATCTGGACCTACGGACTTGAGCTGTGGGGGACAACTAAATCATCGAATATCAAACGCATCCAATCCTTCCAGTCTAAAGTCCTTCGAACAATAGTCAATGCTCCATATTATGTCACGAACTAGACCTTACATCATGACCTTAACATCCCATATGTCCATGACATCATCCCATTCAGATTCTCCTACTTTCACCAGAACCTCATTCATCATCCCAACCCTCTAGCGCAATCCCTATCCAGCTCCGAGCATCCATACCATCCCCCTCGAAGGTTGAAATGGCAGTGGCCTCAAGATCTTTTGTAAATATGCCTTTGGAGTCCTGGCAATGGCCAGCTTCTCCACTCATGTCCTGAGCGTCTGTGGCTCTAGCGCCCTCTTTCAGTCTCCACTGGCTTCTAATACTAGTGATGTGGCTGGAAAAGTGGCACTGGGATCTTCCGGAGTCTTGCTTTGCCTTCCACGTGTGGGGAAAAAGCCTGGTTCGGAGATTCTTTGGCGAATGTATATATTGTATATAGTTATGATTTTGTTTAGAAGTTTTTATTTTATTTTATTTGTTTATTATTATTATTATTATTATTTTCAATTTGTGGCTCATCTACTTTGATTTTATTCAATTGAACAAATTGTCACATAAACCTGAGAATTGTGTTGTTTGACTTTATTCAACACTAACAATTTCAGTAACTTCTAGAATCAATCAAATAATATTAATAAAATAAAGTAAATACTTCTTCTTTCTCTAATCGTGAAGTTGCAGTCCCAGTTTATCCAGGGGACTGATCTCTGTCCCTGGATAGTCTTCTCATCTCCTGGATGGTGGGTCCTCTTATTGTCCCTAGTTTTCCATAGTCAGAATATGTACACCTTTGTCTTCTGGGAGGACACCTTCCTTTTGGCATTTCAAGTATCATACATTTTATAGATATGCCCACTAGTGAATCCAGGATTTAATTTTTGGGGGCTTCAAATCGAAACCTTTTTTTTTTCATGTATATTACAATAATTATTTTGGAAAAAAAAGAAAGATACTAAATACGTATATGAAATGGTGTTTAAGTGATTCTTGAAGTCTTATTAAATGTAATTACACTAGTAATTAAATTACAATAATAATTTAATAGATAATTTTTTAATATTTTTTTCCATAAAACATGGTTAAATTTTACCATTTTGGGGGGGTCTTCAGCCCAAAAGCCATCCCCCTCCTCTCTTCCGTCCCCCGTAGATCGGCCTGTGGACATGCCTATACCATTTTAGTTACTGCTCATCCACAAAGGAACACCCAACAGCTGATGAATACTCTCATTTCTGAAGTAGGCTTTCATATTTGAGATTCTTCAGAGGAATCTCGTTTCAACCAATGAGATCTTGTTGACATACTTGTCAGTCTAGCTTTGGGAGGAACACAGATTTAAATAGTATAAGTTTGACCTCTCTATTAACTACCCGCTTGCCTATGAATGTTTTAGAAATCTAATAGTAAAGTCCATCGACCTTCTTCACTCGATTTAAAACCTCCCGGTCTATTTTACAATCTTTGCTTATAATGATCCCTTTTATGTATGATCACTTGTAGATAGATCGACACATAGAAAGTAACTTTATTCTGGGACAAAGTCCCTTGAGAATAACAAAATTGTACAATAACAAAAGACAAAAGATTACTTCTGGCCTTAGGTTTGAAACATTATTACGTTCATATACATCATATATGTATAAATATTTATTTCTTCTAGGAAGTCACCATTACTAAAAATTATAGGCTCAATATTCTCTCTTCCTACATACCTGACTTTGATTTTAGTTGAATTTATCTGTAACCCTCTCAAGTTTAATTCTTTGTTTCTTTTGACCAAAGATGATAGAACAAGCTCTTGGGAATCAATCTGCTATCAGAAGTATATCATACACAAAGATCAAGGCCTAAGCCATAACTAGAGTTAAATTCCAATATCCAATACTGCTTTTCATGTTCTCCTTTTACCCACTTTAAATTGATTATCGATTATATACTTTTTGTGTTTGTTTTTCTAAAATTGATCGTATATCTATATTGTCATATAATATATTTTTTATTGTTTCAGCTCTGTTACTTTTATATGATGTTACTAATAAAACCAGCTTCGACAATATTAGAGCATGGCTCGTTGAAATAAGGGAGTATGCCCAGGATGACGTAGTAATCATGTTGCTAGGTATATACTTGTTTTTAAATATATTTTTGATTTGATTTGATTAATTTGTTTAGCTCAATTTCCAGTTTAAAAATTATTTTTATTCAAAATAAATTTGAAAAAAAAAAGAAAGTGAACGACAATTGGAATGCACACTGGAGATTACTGCCACTCAATCACCTTCATCTGACCAAAGACGAAAATCGGGCTTGTTATCCTCCTAAACACCTGACACCAAAAAAGTGTTCTACAATAAGCAGGCTCAGAATTGGACATACCAAACTGACCCATCTCCACCTACTTCTCGGCTTACATCGACCAACATGTGAGGCATGTGAAAATGTTAATCTGACAGTTGAACACATATTTCAGTGCAAAAAGTTCCGGAAACAGCAAATTGAATTCCAAATTAATGACAAGACGCCGTACAAGGAAAACACTAGTATTGAAAAAACGCTGAAGTACATTCAAAAAATAAAATTAATAAGTTATATTTAATAACAACGATCATCACTAATGACCCTGGCAGTCGATGCGACGTTAGAAAAAATTAAAAATGTTACATTTATAAGAAAATATTGAAATTTCAAATTCATTTATTTTTAAATAGGTTTAAATTACAAATTATATGAAGAAGCAAAATTGACTCATCATTTTATAAAGCTGTAATTTAAATTATTTCATAGAACTTTAAACAAAAAATTAATTAGACAAAACTGGAAAGTAACCTGAATATTATATTTAAAAAAAAAATCATATAATTTTCTCTTCAAAGGGTTATCTCCCCTTTTATATCAAAATAATTCTTAAAATATTTCATTGAATTTAAATTCAATAAACAAATACTTTTAAGTTTATGTCTTTTTTAAGAATTATCATAGGCCTCATGAGAAACAACCCTTGTATTTTTCATGAAGTAATAAATTACTTAACTACACAATATATAAGAGTTGCCTATCAAAGAAAATCAGATACAAATTGTATGCAACATGGCTAAAACTCATTTCAAAAAATAAAAAATTCTACTGCAATTCTACAAATCTATGATTGAAAACCGTTAATTGAAATACTTATACAATATTAAAAATTTAAATTCTGATTATTGCTAATAGCAATAAATAAATAGTGAAATATATTTATTATACAAATTATTTGTTTATAGTTTATATCTATAATATTGAGAAATAACTTATTTTACAAAAATTATCATAGTTCATTGTTAGTTGCTAAAAATTAATTTTAAAATTGTATCTATTAATATCAGGAATAATGCAAGTTAATAAATATGGTGCGGAGGTATAAAATGTGAAATCTGTTTTAAAAATATGAATTTACATGAATTAGGTATTTATATGAAAAAAAAATATTGCATGAATTTTAATTCAAGTTATAAACAACGTATATAAGATTGAGATTAAATTTTATTAAAAAGTTTCATGTTAATCTAAAAACTTCAAATAACTGCGCATTTAAGAGCTACGGTAGGGACTAGAGGAGGAGCTTGAGTCAATTGTAAGGTAATACGTTCTGTGGCCAAACATAATATTACTCAATTCATGATACTTCTCATCTCCAAGCTTTATTTTATTTATTTACTAACTTTACCCGGCCACACGCTGCTGTGGCTTAGCCTGGCAAAATGAAAAAGAAAGAAAAAAGAAAACACATATGAGTAGATTAGTAACAAAGGACATCTGTCATTTTTAAAAAGTTGGGAAATAAATTTGTCTGTAAAATGGATTCAATTTAAATTAATTCTAATGATTTTTTTTCTCAATTTTCATTTTCATTTTTTCTCAATTCATTCATAATCATCTGAGTGAATACGCCATCATTCATAATCATCAGAAACAGCCTGAGTTGGACTTATAAAATTAAATTAAAAAATTAATAAAAAAAATCGTATAATAGTATTGAAAAATCGTATAAGGAGAACCATATAACTTCTTCAAATGATAATTTCAATAACTGTAATAATTATAAAAATTTTGATTAATCAATAAAAAAAAAATGCTTGCCGACCTTCGGTAGTGAGGAAGCAAAAGGAAACGGCCTTTTCTGAAGAGAAAGCAGTAAATGTTTAAAACTCTATAACTCTGCAATGAACCGCCCAATTTCGATGATTTTTTTATTTTTTATTTTGTCAGTAATTCAGAAATCTTTCAAATAAATATGGGTGTTATCCATCAAAAATTGTGTACTTTTTTAGTTATCGGCAAATAGAATATTGAATTCACCGTAACATTTTTCAGCTTGTTTTCGGGAAAGTATGTTATCCACATAAATTAAAAGAGTTTCAAGGGGAAGACTTTAGCCAAATTTCGTTAAAATCGGTAAAGCAATTTTGGCGCTACAGTTTATAGCGACACATTTTTTTGCGGCTTTGAACATAAAAACATTTACATTTTTATTTTTTTTTACATATATAAAATTATCGTAAGACAGAAGTACTATGCCAGAAACCTTCCCAGGAGTGTACGGAACAACTTCCAAAAAGTTTCATGGCGATCGGTTGAATGGTTTAGTAATGCACTAAGGACAAACAGACAGAGAGACAGACATACATTCATTTTTATATATATAGAAGATAACAACTGATAAAATACATTTTTAACTAAATATTTTTATTCAAAGAGGATAGATTGAAAGAAAAAATGGAAACATATTAATTAGATGGACGTTTCAAATATGGAAACTCTAGTACAAGCTAATAATTGTATGATAGCCAGTGGTTTGAGCTCGGTGCTGGCAGCATCTGAAATCCCATTTCTCCACTGTTGTAGCAAGACGTTTCTTTATTCCTTGTTATCTTTGCAAATATACTTAAGAAAAAACTGGAAATTTTTACATTTCCCTTGTTCATCAAGGCCCGGATTTTTATGCAATTTCATATTTTGTTTGGGTTATTTTTTTTAACGTCTGATTAAATATCTATATGAATTAGTACACTGTGATGCAATTAGCCAAATTTTATTTTGCATATTTGAGGATAAATACATATAATTGCATATTTTGATTAATTTAATGAAAGAAACAAAACATACATATATAAATGAATATTTATTTATTTATATATACAAATTAAAATGCAGTATTGAAAATGCTATTCAAGATTACAATCGTAGGTTTATTTTCAATGAACAAAATCTACCACATTTGTAGACTGTATACCTACCATCCACTATACCCTTTATTAATTCTCTTTATAGATGTTATCCGATTCCTAGAAATCCATTTTCCCTTTTGTCCCATGTAAACATGACACTAAATGTCTATTTTAGTTTGTTGCCTACGTTCTTAGCATGAGATCATATTTCTGTTTAGTTAAAATGCCAAAAGTATCTATCGATTTTCAAAACTATTCACCAATTTTGAAATCTTGGATTGAACCTTAAAACAACAAACATGAAATAGTTTATACAACTGATGAAAATTAGTGGTACCAGGCCAAGTTGGTAAAACTTTAAATGAAAAAAATGGAAGAAGTTTCTATTAAAAATTCAGGTCTCACAATGCTGAAAGGTATTAATAAAATTTTAAATAGCATAGATTCAATTGTTTCCAGTGACATTGACATCAACCTGGTAATTTTAAAATGATATAAATTTGCCGCTATCGCGCCACCAAAGATCATTTTCTAATTAAAAAAGGTTAGGTTTCAGAAGAAAATTTAGCAATGTTTCTCGTAATTAATTTTAATGCAGAACATGTCTGCAAAGTAGGCTAATTAAATTTTTTTATCTATTTTACATTATTTATTCCACAATTAGTTAATTATTTTATTGTTTCAACAAAGACTCATGTTAGATTTTTATCCATTTAATAATAATAATAATAATAAGGCTTAGCGAACCCGAAGGTTCGATGCCGTCACCACCAATCGCTTGTTACACACCTCCCTCCACCGTTCGCCGTCCAAACCCAGTCCCTTCAGATCGGCTTTAATGCAATCTTCCCACCTTCGCTTCGGTCTACCCCTCGGATGCCTACCATTCGGCACAGCAATATTAACCTTTTAGGAATTCTCTCGTTACTAAGCCCAACAACTTTACATGCCCATTTGATTCGCCGCGATGAAATTACCTCAATTATATTACCCGGATACAGCTCACGCAATTCAGCGTTGTGTAACTGTCTGAACTCTCCGGTTAACTCATCCTTCTTCGGTCCGAATATTCTACGCAATACTTTATTTTCAAAAACCTTAAGACGCTGCTCATCCCTTAATGTAAGCGGCCAAGTTTCGCATCCATAAAGAACTGTAGGCAAGATAATTGTTTTATAGATTCTAATTTTTAAGGAGCGGGACAAGAGGCGCGAACTAAGTAGTTTTGTCACAGAAAAATAACAAGCATTCCCCGCCTTCAGTCTAACCTTAATCTCTTCTTCAATTTCGTTTTTTCTAGTTATCGTAGAACCTAGATACCTAAATTTATCTACCTGTTCAAACATATTACCATCTATATCGATATCACCAGTAGTATCGCCATTTTTGCAGCTAACCATATATTTTGTTTTATCCACGTTTATTTCGAGTCCTAGTTCTTTACCGGCTTTCATTAACGTTGTCGTATTTAGTTTTATAGTTTCAACGTCTTCGCTTAACAGTACCAGATCATCAGCATAGCCCAGCACGGATGTTGTCCCGCCCAGATCCAACCCTTTCTCAGTTCGCATTACCTCCCTAATGGCATGTTCTAATGCCAAATTGAACAGGACAGGCGAAAGAGAATCCCCCTGTTTTAAGCCCGAACGAACCTCAAATTTTTCGGACAAATTATTACCGATTCTAACTTTATTGAGTGTCTCCGTCAAGCACATCCTGACTAGATTTACTAGTTTTTTTGGAATCCCCTGCTCGATTAGAATATTATACAGTTTCTGGCAGTCAATAGAATCGTAAGCCTTTTTAAAATCTATATACAGCTGGTGAACAATACCGTTATACTCCAATTTTTTCTCTAATATTTTTATCCATTTACATACAAAATTTTAAAGTGTTTACATATTATTCAATATTTGTCATCTTTTATTACTTACTATGCTTATTTAATTATGTGAAGACAATTACTGTTTTTTTGTTTGTATTTATATTTAATATTTAATTTTTTTTAATGTGACTCATGTTCCGCTTTCGTTACCATTATAAGGTATATGTTTATATTATAACCTTTTTAGCCTTATACGTTTGGTCATTTTCTTTCTTTAATTTAGATATTAAAAAAAAAAAAAAAACTAAAATTATTTTAATTTTCAAACTCTTTATAATTTATTTTCGTTTCAAAACTTTTTGTGGGCACTTCATTATATTTAAATACGTTATTGCTTCATTAGTATTAATATCTATAGAAACCAGTTACTGCATTTTTCATGTTTTGTTTTACTGCATATTTCAGGTTTTTTTACTGCATATTATATGGCATATACTGTGGTTTTTTACTGTATAAAAATTCGGGTCTTGATTATAATCTAATCTCCACTGGTGAATACAAATTAAGTTCCTACAAGTATACAATTATTAAGTACTTATTCAGACCTGGAAAAATATTGTAATTGATATTGAAGCTAGTCATTGTAATTCTTACATATATCTTGTGCACTTAGGTAACAAAGCTGATTGCCAGAGTTCAGAAAGAATGGTAAGGAGAGAAGATGGTGAAAGGTTAGCAAGAGAACACTCAGTTGCATTTATGGAAACGTCAGCCAAAACAGGGCAGAATGTTGAACTGGCTTTTATGGCAATAGCTAGGTATAACAACTCATTTAAGTTCTGTTTAATCTTAAATTTATATTTTTTTTATTTCAGTAATTATTTTTAATGATATAAAGATCTATTAATATTGTACTGAAGATTCCTGTCACTGTCCGAAAAAATAACAACGTACAATATTAATAGATTAAAAGAAGAATTGCAGAAGATTAATATGATTATCAACCCTTTAAAAACGAAAGTAGTGAGGGTTGGGAAGAAGCCTAGAAGAAATACGCGCGTCATCAGAGTCGAAGACAGAATCCTCGAGCAGGTAGAAAACTTCAAATACTTGGGCACACACCTTAATGAAAATGGATACATAGATTCAGAGGTGACTGAGCGAATCGCTGCTGCGAGCAGGATGTTTGAGGCAGTTAAGAGAGGTTTTCTGAACAGGCGCGAGGTGGAAAAGAAAACAAAAGTAGCGTTTTCAGATCGACATTTCTTCCCATTTTAACTTACTCTTCAGAATCATGGACGCTGACAAACAAACATCGATCAAGGATACAAGCGTCAGAAATGCGATTCCTCCGAAAGATTGAGGGGAAAACGAGAAGAGATAGAGTATGCAACACCACCATCAGGTCGAACCTCAATATTAAGCTGGCCGATGATAGTGATTGAGGAGAATCGACTGAGATGGCTAGGACATCTTCTGCGGATGGAACCAAACAGAATAGCTAGCGAAACCTATCGATCTAAAGTAGACGGCAAGAGAGGAAGAGGACGGCCTAGATGGAAATGGGAAGATGAAGTAAAGAGTGATTTCCAGAGAAGAGGTCTTCAATGGAGCTATAGAAGGCGTCTTGTTGAAGACCGGCAGAGCTGTAGATAAACTTCCTCCTCACACTGCTTAATGCGGTTCAAGAGGATAGATTATGATGATGATGATGATGATGTAGAGATGGTTGACCATGATTATAAAATGAGAAGGAGTTGGTCGGGAGGGTGTGGTGAAATAAATATTATGTATTAAGATAAAATACTATTTTAATACAATGACATAAACAATAAAATACTATTTTATTAGATAATATTTATTTGACCACACTCCCCAACCAATTCCTTCTCACAGTAATTATTTTTGTATTCTAAATCTGTTGATTGCCTGGGTAACTGTGATTGGATCTTCAGTGTGAAAGGGGCCTAAATGATTCCTTAGACCAGCAGTTCTCAAACTTTTGTCATTGCAATACCTTTGTAAGACTAAAACCATTTCACAGGCCCCTTGCAGAACTAAAACAAAATTGTAATATATTCGTCTTAAATTTTTTTATTAATTAATTTATAAATTAGAAAACTTATATATATTTATGGATATAAATTTAACTTATTCATTTTTAGAATGTCAATTTACCGAATTGACAATTTTTATCTTAAATATTGCAATTAAATGTTTTCTGAAAGTTTTGTTTCTCAGAATACAACCAACATATCAGGCACCAAAAGACATTGTGAGAATAAATGGTATTAAGTTAAAGAGCTTCCAAAGGAAAAAGGAGTATAACCTCAGTCATCTACTGTTCATCAACTTTAAGTGTGAAACAATGAAAATTTGCACAAGAAGAACAGTAAGAGCTATGATTGGTCATTGAAACACAAGAACTATACTGGCACACTCTTTCAGTCTCCACTGGCTTCTAATACTAGTGATGCAGCTGCAAAAGTGGCACTGGGATCTCTGGAGTCCTGCTTTGCCTTCCACATGTGGGGAGAAAAGCCTGGCTCGGAGATTCCTGGGCGAATGTATTGTATATAGGTATGATTGTGTTTAGAAGTTTTTATTTTATTTTATTTGTTTACTTTTTTTCTTTTTATTTACCTTCTTCATGAGTATTATTTATTTGCTTCTTATATTTATATTTATTTCTTTATTATGTATATATTGTATGAATGAGAACTTTTAGCCCTAATGCTTATAGCCTTCCATCAGTGGCTGATTGTATTATTATTCAATAAATAGATTTTTTAAAAAAAGTAACACTAGCACAAGTAATGATATATGTCGACAACATAGCCCTCATCGCTAACTTTACAAATAAACTCCAGAAAGACCTAGCAGAGTGGGAAACTGGGAAGGGAAGTCATGAATATTAAAGCAGGAAAAAGCCAAATCCTACAAGTTGGACGAGAGAACGAACAAGTACCTATAACCTGCAATGACGAGGAGCTTGAAGTCGTGAAGGAGTTCTCCTCTTCTTGGAACTGTAGTCAGTGGAAATGAAAAAGTCTAATCAGAAATATCCCACAGGATAGGAAAAGCTAATAATATATACTATTCCATTAGCAACACAATCGTAGGAAAGATAGAGATCAATAAAGACGTCAATGTGTATATATTCAAAGCTATTCTGCTTTATGGAGCAGCGGTGAAATACTTGCACAGGTTGGTCACAACAAACACGGATAGGATCAGGAATGAAACTATAAGGAAAGAACTAAACATCCCTGTAACGAATGAGACCGGAGAAGAGGCAGTTAAGGTGGTACGGCCATGTGTACCGGATGAGCCCTGATTGTGACCCACACAAATTTAGGTGAGACCAGTAGGTACTAGACCTAGAAGAAGGCCAAGGTTTAGCTATAATAACTATATTTCCAAGTTGGAACAAGCGACAAGGAAGATGTTGCAGAAGATGACAATTCTTGTGACAGATCCTGGGTTCCTGGGTTGGGTTAACTTAACGCAATGCTGAAAGGCACAAGAAGAAAGTTTAAGAAGAAGAAGAAGAAGAAATTAAATATTATTGCCGTAACACCCTTTGTTCACTGACTCATACTTGCGCCACCTTTTTTTGAGAACCATTGACTTAAGCTGTATTAGAGGAATTTATTTTTCTTTACATCTCCTGGAACTTGTAATTTTTTATTTTAAATCTCGATACCCAAGTAAATAAAGCTGTAAAGACATTTAAACCTAATCTGGCTGGCTTCGAAGTATTCCTCTTTTTCTTATCTCCCTCTTACTTGCGTATACTTAGTCCTTTGTACATTGATTCTAAGATCAAGGCTCATGGCTTCTTATTTTAGTGCAAGGAATTTGTAAGCCTAGGATTTGAACCAACTTATGATCTGAAAACCAAGTATTTTTATTTATTAGTAATATATGTTTATATATAATGTTAACTTAAATGACTTTTGGGTATCAATTAATATACTTTCATATATTATATTTTGTAAAAAGTGACAATATTTGATTTTAGGGAATTAAAAGCAAGGAAGAATGCTGCACATAACAAATCTTCCTTTAATGTTCAAGATTACGTAAGGGAACATACACAAAAAGCTTCTTGCCAAGCGTGCAGCTCATAGATAACTGATCAATAGTCATGCCTTATGTAAGATTGCAACTCAACATGACACAAGCAAACTACACTTCACGATTCTTGACTGCCAATTCACACAAGAAACAAAAATCAAACTAATAATCATATGCTTTGGCTCATATTTTTTATGATAGTAAAGTTAGTTTTCTATGAGTACTGTAATACTACATGCTGTTCTTAACCTACGGCATAGAATTAAATAGTTTTGAATTTTTTAAAATAGATTTTGAATATTTTGGACCATTGTAAGTATTAAAAAACACACAAAATTTCTCGAAACACAAGTGATAATAAATTACAAATATTTCATACCTTGTGACTTTGAAGAAGGTTATTGACAATATTTTGTTAGAAGGCAATGACCTTAAGTTAATCGTGTAGAATATATGTTTTATTTTTTAGTAACGGAAAATATTTATTAGAATTATATTGATGTACATTACTGGTATAAATTACTTTTTCACACGATGTATTCTTGTATTTAGAATATTTTTATTATGTGAAGAAATTTTATGAATAGTGAAAGTAGTGCTCCCAAATAATGTCTCGACCCAGTATTGCTTATGAACCTATATGCGAATATGTATTTAAAAGAACTGTCAATTTCTCTAAGAGCTTTTGCTGTAAGTTTGGCATATCTAAATGTATTTAATGTTGTGCTATGTTAAAGACAGAGTATTTATGGATGTTAAAATTGATGTTAAATTTAACATATTTTAGTCATAAAGATTAATATATAAAATAAGAGAAGTATTGTTGTCTAATGTTTGCAATATGTTCACTTTTCATTATAGTAATAAATCAGCCAAAATTTAAATGTTAAAAGACATTTGGGCAATCACTTTCACACAATTTGGGTTTAGCTCGATGTATGAAATAATTTAGATATACATATATGTGTGACAATGTTTTGCAATGCTAGTGAACTCCCTTTAAATATTTTAAACTAAATAATTGTTTGATGAAAAATCATATTTTGTTGTTATTTATTTATTTTTTTAAATTTCATAACAGGAAATTTTCATGTTAATTTTTTTCTATTCTATCTGATTTTTATTCTATTAATTGAATATTTTATTTTATATACAGAATAGTATATCAGTTTTTACCAGCTATTAGGAAATCAGCACAGGAATTCAATCCTGTATTCTCAACATTTATATAGCATCCTAACCACTCGTCTATCCTTATACCTCGAAAATTAATAAATTATTTTTAATACCTTTAATAAATCAATTGGATTTGTTAAATTTAGCATATCATAAAAAATATATATTTTCTAATTAACTGTTGACATAATTATACAATGTAAATTGTAATATCTCCTGGATTCTTTTCTTAATATTTAGATTAATATAAATAAATAAACCCATAGAGGCCAAAAATTCTCCCGTTTTATTTTTATGTCCTCCCAAATGTTTATGTCCCACCTTTTAGGATATATGGAGGTTTTCACAGGCCAGAGGAGAAGGCGAGGGATTAATGATAGAGTTAAAAGCTCCCACAGAATTGGGATGCGAACTTGTAATTATTTTATCAAGTTATAATCTGTTTATCAGGTTGCCAGGCAACATGTGTTTTGCACAGGCGTTAGCCCACTCGGCCACCCTGCCCCCTTAAAGTTTCTCCCTTATTATTTGCATTGCTTTCCATCCTACTTGATGAGTTAAACCAAGAAGTGTTGACCAGTAGTAGTGTGGAGGGTGCATCCCTATTTCCTAACTTCCTCCCTATAGCCCTATAAAGTACACTAGGCAACCATTGAGGACCAGGTTCATATTAACCTAGTGCAGTACGCTGCCCATGATGGATTATAGATCATGCATAAAATCCCTCATATATACATATCCTACATATATATTTCCCATAAGGCAGGAGAGAGTGGTAGGTAAAATAATTGTGACTTATTTGTTTGTTTATTTATTAGAGAACCTGATAATTTCAAGTCTCTCAGAGGATAAAGACAACATATAATAAAATATTATATTACTTCAGAATGTAAAAACTGACTGGTTAAAACTTCTCAGTTGTACTCTACAATACAGAATTCTGCAAACTGAAAATAATAAAAGTAGTGTTTACAAAAAAAAATAATTTTTTTTGTTAACACATGACTTTGCCATTATACTCATTTATTCTTTGCTATTATTGCCAGATTGGATTGGATACATCAATGACTTAATAAAGATCTAAATAATTCCTTAGGGGTATTTTCATATTATCTCATCTTTGCTGCAGTGGCTAGTATACTTCAACATATGATTTAGAATAATACCTAATTCTTTTGATTCAAATAAATTTGGTCATTTCTTTACTCATTTTAACTTTAATATTATGTTCAATAGAATTTAGCATTTCATATTAATGTTTTCAAACTTGTTGGCTTATGATCTAGACTGACTTCTCCCACTGAGCCTGAAAGCTCATCATATCAACATACTCATATCATTTCTGACAGTAAAATGTTCTGTTTCATTATGTGTGTCAGTTATTATGTTTCTTTATTGGTTGTTTCTTAAGAAATAATAAACAATCTGACTATTATTATTGTAATAATAATTGTCAATGTACTCAAAATAAACAATCGCAGAGTAGATGGCAGTGTTCATGGCTCTATAATGTGATGGTTAGTGTGAGTATCAGATTTTCTAGATGCAGAAAGGGTGGTTCTTTTTTTGGCCTCTCCATGTAACAACAAGCATGCATAAAAACAAACTTGAATGTTATAATTTTCATTTTTAGTTCAGAAATTATCACATGAAGATTTATTATTGGTACCGTTAAAGTGATTTCATAGATCTGCTGTCCAAAAACGTTCTACTTTTAAACCATATGCTGATACCACAGATTTGAAATAAAATTATATTTGAATTATTAACATTATTAGAATTTTATTTTTTAATTTTGAACAGGGTTTGTTAATTTTACTTATTTATTTATTATATTTTATTATTATCTTCAAAACAAATGCATACTACTATTGAAATAAAATGATTCAATTACATTGTTTACATAGTGAAACACATCTGTAATATGTAAATGAAACACTTTAAACTTTGTCAATGAAATACTAATTAATTCAGACAAAACTATAACATAACAATTATTGTCTTCATCACTGTAAAAATTATCAACACTTTTCATCATTAGTTGATGTTCTTTAATAAAATGTAAAAAAATATTTTCTAACCAATCATTTATGTTATGATAGTTTTAAATATCCAGTTGTATTTATTATTTTATATTTTGTAATAGACTGATTCTTTAAATATCCTAGAATAAGTGACATAAATTGTTTAAAAGAAGTGTCATATCATTGGCCATTATTTAAATACAATATTATTTAATAATCAATTACATTTTATTTATTATTGATTATTATTTATTATTGATTATTATTTATTCTTATTGATTATTATTTAAGTATTATATGTTAAAAATGAGACCATCTTACCTTAAATCATTTAGTTTTTTTTTACTATTACTGTTATATTTAGAGTTATGGATATTTTATTAATTGCTCTGTGCTAATTAAGAGATTGATGTTCGTAAATTTATTACTTCGATAAAATTATTATTATTATTTATTTTTTTTTTGTTTGTACTTTATAGGAAATATAAAGTTTTATTTCATTCTGATTGAATATTTAGTGGTTGACCGTTGTGTATTTTAGAGGAAGGAGTTGGGGTGGGGTTCATAATGATTTTATTTTATTAATTTATTTTGGATAGTATCTAAGTTATTCTCAAATTTTAAATTAAGGTAATAGACATCTGATTTTTATTTCTTATCTATGAAAAAATTGGATCAATTCTAGCTGTATGCTAAAACTTATTCTCTTTTTTTAAGCAATGTAAACCAGTAATTTTTTATTTATTTTGCAATTGTTCCTAAAATGTAGAATTATATATTTTCAGGCAAGTAACTTTTTTTCCTTCAAAGTTATATTTATTTTCCCAATTAGATTCTTTGATAAGTGTTATTGATTTATTCAGTAGAAACAAATTTAAATCACTGTGTTAAGCTAACAATCTTATTATCAGTATTTATGTATTATCAAATACGTGTAAGCATGTTATCAAATATGTGCATATATATTTTTATTCTCTGAAGGCATATAAAGTCAGTTAAAAATGATGTTATCACATAAACATACAAATTAAATTATATATAAATTGAAAATATATATATAAAATTGAAAATTATATGTTACAATTAAATATTTTGAATTGATATCCAAGGTAGTTCTATTGGCTATGGTATAGTTAAATTAACCTTCACTAAAAATTTTAATATTAGGCTTATTTTTGTTGCATAAACTGAACAATTTTCCTTATTTTATTATTTTTTTTTTTTAAAGATATATTGTTATATCGAACATAAACCAAACTATTATGTTGTCTCTTTTGGAGCAACATAGCATATCTCATTTATTGATGAAATTGAGTTAGGCACACAATTTTATTCAAAATAGCCCAGTGGTTTCAGTAAACAAAAATTAATTTAGAAAATAAAAAATTCTTTAGATTCAATTTTTTACCTTTTTTCTTTGACATTTTGACCATTTTATAGGCAAAAAGTAAGGAGAAGGTAAAAATAAAAATAATGTATTTTTGCTCAGAGGTATATTCAAATTTACGTATGTTGTTTTACTCTTCTGAAAAGTTGAGAATATTGAGATCCATTAAGTTGGTTTTACAATGACTATATGTTTTCATAAGGAAGGAAAACAAAAAAAATTATGGCAGCAAAAATATTGTGATTGCACTGCATTGCTGTTATTAGTATTTACAAATATATAATATCACACATATAAAACTGTTAAATATCAATATTTATGTCTAAGTGATGTATATAGGAGTTTCTAATGTTATAAACAATTAAATTTTTTTTTTAAATGTTATTGAAAATTTATTCTTCCTGAGTATTATTCGGGACTTCACCTTGACAAGAGACTGACTTGGAGAACCCATACTACAGTGAACAGAAAATAACTAAACAAATGATATAGATTGTTATCCAGGTTACTCGACAGATGTTCCAAATTATCTTTAACTAATAAACTTTACGTCTACAAATTATTTATAAAACCTTTATGGACTTGCAGGATAGAGCTATGGTGCACTGTGAAGACTTCTAACATCCTCAAAATTTAAAGTTTTTAATTAAAAGTTTTCAAAAAAATGCTGATGCACTGTTCTATATGACAAATGACTTGTTACACTAGGAAGTGGACATCCAAATGGTTTCAAACATTGTATTACAATACTATAAAAACTTCCACCAAAGACTGACGTGCAACACGAACCCATTAGCCCAAACACTTAATTCTATCACAAACCCATATCCTACCATGACAAATTTTAAGGTAGCGACTAAGAGACTTTCTTACTTAACCTCTAAATGGAACGAGTACAGATTTATTTATTGCAAAAAAATACTTTGCAGATAGAAAATTTCAAATTAGACAAATTTAATAAATGAATTAATTCTTCCTAATCACATATATGAAATCAATTATTCAGATTTTTATTTTTTACTTTCTGTTACCCTTTAATGAAATACATAGTAAGGAAAAGTATGGCAACTGTCGAATAATTTATAATTTGAGTTTTCAAGAGAAATTCATGTTTCAAGGTCTCCTGAACTCAAATAACCAAGTCTTGATAAAAAGTCTGTGTGTATATGAACAATTTTTCTCAAAAACAAAACTTAGGATAGTGAAAGTACCCATTTAAGGTAGATATATACTTAGGATGTTTATAAAATTGTTTTTCTAAAATCAACTTACCAGGAGTAGTACCTTATATCTTACTTTAAAAATTGTTACAATTTGTCAAATTGGAAGTTTTAATTATTTTAATTAAACTTGTTATATTGATGTAAGATTGAATGCTCTTTAATATCAGTTATGCATTATTCTCATCGATAGAGTCTGACAAGGCTTAAATACCAAATTTTCCAAATTTCTTCCTCTGAAGTTCCTTAAATATTGTTAACTAAAAATAATTAAAATTGTTGGTAGCAATTCAAAATGGATAGATAGGAACTATGAAAGAATTTTTTTTATTGATGATATTTACAACTGTATTACAAATAAAAATACATTCAGTAAATGTGAACAAAAGATAATAATAACATGAAACCATTGGTTGAGAAACTACCCACTGGTAGCACACTAAAAATGTATTTACAAAAGGAGATCTTGAAGCCATCTTCTTTTCAGACGCATCGGAGGGATGAAAGAATTAGATAACTAACGGTGAAAAGGAGAGAAATATCTTCACAAGTTGAACACAAATTTACAAAAATAAAATTAATAATATAGTTGTTTGGTATACCGTTGAAAAGCTAATGATTTTAGAAAAAAAGAATATCTAACATATGAGGTCGATAAAGGCAATCGAGAGTGACAAAAAGCTGATGAATTTTAATTATTGTAGTTAATAATATCTAATTTTATATAACTGAATGGGAAATAAACATTTCCATAGAAGATAAATGAAATTTCCATTGAAAACATATAAAATAATTAATAAATAAATTTCAGCTCGATATACCAAAAATATACAGGATACCTCAGTTCTTAATGGACAAACTGTGAGAGATGATTCTTGACAAAATTAAAAAAAAAAAAAATGTTCACTTGATGCATGGGCCAATTCCAAACGGAAAATGAGTTAAGACCAATTTTATATTTTTCTTAAAGAAGCATCAGTTTTTATTAAATAAGGAGAAATTTCTCATAAACTGTTTGAGATAATTATAAAATAAACAATTTTTTTTTGTTGAGAAAACTGATTAAATTTAGTGAGATCTATGATAAAAGGGATTTTAAATTTACTAAGGTAAATGATACAAGGGACTTTCAGTAGGTCTAATATGACCTATAGTACAAATACAGAGATATTCTGCTCGTGGACGGGTACTATAAAAGCAGCAGTACAGCGGCCATATTAGAGCTCCTGAAAGGCCTTTTTTTTCATTGACCTTAATAAATTTAATCACTGTTTTCTTAAATAAAATGATGTCTAATTTACGTTGGTATGCTTATAATTTATTTTTATTAGTTTTAATAAAATTTCTTCTTATTCAATAAAAACTGTTAAGAAAGACACATAATTGGTCTTAACTCCTTTTCCATTCTGAATCGGCCCATGTATCAAATAAATTTTTTTGCTGGAAATTTTTTCTAGATCACCCCTCATAGTTTGACCATTCAGAACTGTATATATATTTTGATTCAGTAAAATAATTGATTGATTGGTGCGGCTACTAGGAGTCATATGCTTATCTTTATTTTATTTATTTATTGTTACAGATAACCATCAAGATTTGTTAGCAAATACTGTTCCGCTCAACATGTAATTTTAAAGAAATATGTATACATTTATAGATTTACAGATTTCTTCAAATTTCCACCTAAACTAAATTCGGCATTGTATATTTTAAAAAACATTTCAATTTTCTTAATCTTCCCTCCATCCAAGTTTTTTAAAATGTTGGATCTTCCTCCGGTGCTAATTCATGTCCTCTTTTATATTTCCTGCATCTAAACAGTATGTGTCTTGATTATTCTGGCTCTTTTCAAAATAAGATATTTATTTTTGCACACGTGGTTAATCTGTAGCCTTTCAATCTTTTCTATAACTTTTTTTTCTGCTTTTTTTTTTAGTTCAGCAATTAAGAACTGAGACATCTTGTATAGTGCACACAATTGTCATAATTTAAATTAATTGTGTTACATTTATATGTATAATTAAGTTTACATTCTTAATACTTAAAAAAAAATTAATTTCTACTGAAAGTAAGATGGTATGTAAAACTTGTATAATCAACTGCATCAAGGTAGTTAATTTTTTCACATACCAGTAACCCTGTAATGGGTGCATATATTTCTATACATACTATCTTAATGACATAATGTGTATTAAAATATATAATTAGTTTAAGGAACATTTCAATATTTTAAAATAGGAGAAAAGAAAATAATAAGTAAAATAAATAAACACACGAAAAATAAAATAAAAGTTGTTAACCCTGGATTATCACACATAATAATAATTACACAAAGGCTACACAGGGATACAGGTGTACCCCTAGAAAACAATTATTTTACTTTCTAACAAAAATGTTTATTGAAACATCCATAGTTTAGTTACATCCATTTTATGTATTACATACAAAAGAATAAAAATAGCAAGAAAAATGACCTTTTAAACACATTTATGACATACTTTCTTTCAATACTCTAAAAAAATTAATTTTTCACACTTTGCTCACTTGAATCTGTCTTACATCTTTGGCAGAAAGCACATCTTCCAGCTGATGATATTCTACTAGATGTTGACTTTTATGGTGAGTCTATGTTGAGGATTTCATTTATGAGGAGCTGTAGAGGAGACTGCAAAGTTGGACTATTTAGGTGCGCCGACAAGTGCTGCCTGATAACCTATCATACCAGTCTTTCTATGAAAGATCTGTATTTTTCAATTTTTGTTTGTTATTACTGTTGGACCAATTCAACAATATTAGAAAATTCACACCTGCAATCTCCAATAGATTATAAAATAGTTTAAGTGACATGTATAGGAGCAACTTAGTTGGTCCTAAGTGTTCACTCCACCTTTGGTTATATTACATAATTCTATAATTTCTGGATGCATAATAAGTAGATTTATGTCAGTTAGTGTTTAAATATGTAAAAAATAAAGTTTTAATAAAAAATGTAGTTATAAACAAACTACACAAGGGTACAAGTACCCAATCCAAATTTTTCAATTAAGACAGACAGCAATTAGCTATAAAACACTGACAGTCATGTACGACCATGTGGGACTGGCAACTACATTAACCCCCAACTCAATCTCTCGGAAAATTGTCTGTGAATAACACAGACCAAATTTGAGACCCGAGGTAAACTTGTATCCCTTTGTAGTGCTCCAGGGTTATGTACAATAAACAAATAACTAAAGATAAATACCTGTTGTAAGAAATTAGAGATTAAATAACAATATAAGTAGGATATTTACAATAGAAACAATTAATTATATAATAGAGCAAACAACTAACTAAAGACATTGGAACAAAGTTAAGAATTTAGTAACAATATACATTAAATATTTACACTGCTGTATAAAGAAGTTTAGGGATGATTACAAATCAGTTATATCAACAATTGATGTAGTGCTATTAAAAATTTATTAAACAACAGTGGTTTAATTATCAAGTTCGAATAAGTCAATTCAGTACAAAAATGCATATAAATTGTGAGAAGGATTCTTCTTTGAAATTCGCCATTTGTCTCCTTTCAAAATGACTGCAAAGAAAAGGTTGTGTCTGTATTTGTCGGGTCTATTACAGTCAAATAAAAGATGGTTGTATCTTTGTTTTATTACCGCTATTACTTATTTGTTCTATTACTATTACAGCCACATTTGCAAATTTTATTGTTAATTAATTTTAATCTCAATAAATAGCTTTTGGCTGTTCCATGTTCTTCAAAACTTGCATCAAAACTTGTATCAGTTTGTAAGATGTAAGTCAGTTTGTAAATTAAAAAGTTAAGTTTGACTCTTTTTTTCTCAATTTTTTATGAACTTCTGTGTCTTCCTTTTGTTGGTACCGTCCAGATTAGTCTCATGCCTGTCTTGATGCTCTTCTTAGGGACAGAAATTTTTTTTTTGGCAAAATCAGACTTTATTCCTAAATGGTCAAAGATGGAATCTTGAATTAACTAATGAAAATTTTATTTTTGGTTCTAACAGTAGAGATAATTAAAAAAAAAATATGAATTTTACAGGATTTACTGTAAAATATCCCTTAATTTTATGACTTAAGAAATAAAATTTAACTATCTCTTAAATTATACAGACCCAATATTGAACTTGCTTCTACTTATTAAATTGATTTGTTCTCTTC